ACCCCGAATCCTGGTATGCGTAGCGCGAATGTGATAGAGAGAGAATAGGTTTAATACTAAATTCATTGAACGAGTTGAATAAAATAATATAAATTTCATGGCCGGTGACCAATTTATTTAAGTACCATTCAACGCTTCAAAATAGTATGACAAATCAGAATTAAAGGGTTAAATTCAAAGAAAACTACAAAATGATACAAGACAATACAGACACAAGTTTGATTTAGCGATAAAAATTAAAACATTAGATAATGTAAAAAATTTGTTTTAAAAAATAACTGAAACATATTTTTGTACTATAACATAACTGAAAGAGACTCCACAGCAGGTATGACGGGGTGAAAATGAGATTTGTGTACCAAATGATTTAGAGCCTGTCTAATAATTTGCATCCATTCCCTATTGAAATAACGTCAAATTTGAACATTCATTAATTTTGTATTTATGATCAAATGATATACATGCAGCCATGCCTAGGCGAAAAGATACTGCACATGTCAAAACCAATACAAAATGTCAATTATTATTATTATTATTATTATTATTATTATTGTCATTATTATTGTATTAATTTGTAACTAAGAGGAAAGTGTCCATACATTTTCTTTTTTTCAGTAGAAAGAAAGTGAAAGTAGATCTAGACATAAGATCTATGTTTTTGGGGAAAAAAAACATTACGTTTCCCCGTGTTAACATATGACATTTAGTGTATACATATAAAAATCATGTCAAAAATTAGCTACTGAGTACATACTGCCCAACTCATTCAATATCGAGCAAATGAAAACTCGCATCGGCCGTATTGCCGTATATCTCATGGTACTTGTGAAACTCATACTTCTTCACCGTCTTCCATATTTCCATTCGCGCGCAAAGTGACGTAAATCATGCATATTTATAAGGTCAAATTTAAACCCACCATTCAGGTTATTTTATTAGGTAGTGACATATTAAGTAAATATTAATGAGGCCAAATAAAGCTTGACACTAAGTATGTTAATATATATCTGTAGCTGTTCTAAAGAAATAAGAAACATTCTCTGGTCGCTTTCGCTTCAGTCGAAGTGTCTGAATTTCTCTAAAACAGCACGGATGAATAAATATATTCTTGATATCTCGATCAAATATATTTGTTGCTGTAATTTGACGATAGTTTCCGCAAACATAAGACAATTTATTTCTCGTATATCGATGATATATATTTTTTAAATCCTGTTTCACACGAAAATAATATAAATACTGCTAACCGATAAGTACAAAAAGTATCGATATTGCTGTCTAAATTATGTCTCATGTGTTTCGTACCAACGTTACAGTGGAAATAACAATTATTTTTCTTACAGTTAAGTTATCAAAAATTACAATCGACTTTTGACATATGAAAATACATCAGTTTAAAAAGTCTTGAGTAGGTGGGGGGGAGTGGGGCTTCTACGATGTAATAGTTCAAAAAGGTTAACATGAATAAATTTGTCTAATGCTTTATAAAAGAATAAAAATGATAAACTCTTCTAACTTCTTTTGGTTAAATATTACGATCATACCGCCATTTTTCAGAAAAAGAGACTATTACTTGGGGAAAATATCTTAAAAGATATACAACTTTCATTGAGTAAACAATTTTCTACAATTCCAAAACGGACAGACTGTTTTTAAGACTACGTCATTTTTTTGCATTTTGTTAAAGGTGAGTTAAGTACCTACGTTACTATTTTGCCCTACAATTATTTTCTTCCCTTATATGCGTAAATATTCGAATCTCATTATTGTGTGTTATGAACTGTTGTCAAAAAAAATATTTAACTAAATTATGTAAATTAAATGAACACTATCTTTATTCAGTGATGTATAAAAAATAGTATAATATCATGATATGCACGTAACCCTGTTTCCCGCCATCCACAAAATGTTAATTTCAGCTATCATTGTAATTAACAAAGTTCAACTTTATGTTTATTATATGATTTTATCTTATTTCCGTGTAATGATTTATAAAATGAAGCAGTAAAATAACGTTGATCATTAACATCATTTGTAAACATTGTATTAACTTTTTCGAGCGAAGCAAGCAGAAAAATATAAATACATTAAATACTTATTTATATAAAAGTTAAACATATAAAAAAATAGGTATTGAGATTTTGTCTGGATACTGTAGTGTGACCGCCGGTTGAGCAAGCGCCCTCCTCTCTGAATCTGCCCCGGCGTTTGTTACGTAAATAGTGTGTACTTTACATGCGATATATTTAGCTGTGAACTTCCAAAAACTGTTTTATATTTATAGTCAAAATGGGTTTGTGGTTTAATTCCTTTCATTCGGGTTACTGCGTAGATACGAAAATGTTTCTTCTTGTGTTAATTGGCGTCCGCGCCGAAGCGCGGCGCACCTTATGGAATGAAATCAGATTTTGTGAAAGGGCGACAGCAACTTCTCGAGCCTTTTAGTCGGTCATAATAAAATCCGATCTTTCCGATCTGTATGAGGGTGCTTAAATGAAATGTCGCGATATGTACAATGAATAGCGAACTGGAGAATTTCGCAATGAAGACATTTTCAAATGAAAGAACCTTTTCCGTCAATAAATCGCGCTCTTCGGGGTATTTTTATTTATCATTTTGTAGTACACAGCGGGTTATTATGGTATGTTATTGTTGTACATGTATCCGAAAGCTGTAAATAGAATGAAAATCTATTTATAGAGGGATGTACTTTTATCGGTAATTCCCGGTCTCTCCTGGTCTATTTTCACCGGGATTTACTAGTGACCGGCGAATAGTACCACACGTTTATTGTCCGGTCTCTTCGAACAGTACAAATATTTTACAGATAAATAAGCTTTTTTTCAAAATGAATGTTTGTCACTTAGTTTGGTTACAATAATTAATAAACACAGATCAACTCTCAAATTTATTGATTATTATTATACATAAACATACAATTCGAAAAAAAACCAACAACAACAATAACATGTTTTATTTTATCTATATGTGATAAAAACAATAAATATGCACAATAAATGAGAAAAAAAGGTACATTATATGGTATTAATATGACACTATTAACTTTGAAACATTTTATTTAATTTGTTATTCGTGTTTAGTAAAGATACCGGGGAATTATTCAAAGTTACAAATTAGATTTTATGAATTATTCAATTGATAATTTAAAAAATGCTAAAGAAAAATACAAATGAACATGTATACAATATTATATATTGAAAGATTAACCATAATTTACTGACTTTTTCCAGTTAAGTTTTGACTTATAATCGTCGGTCAATATGACAATTGAATTCTTAAAATAGTAGTAAACGTATAAAAACTCAGTATTAAAATAGCACATAAAACACAAAAAAGAAAAGAAAACAATATTCATAAAATCTGTATTTTGTTTTTATTAAAATAGATATTACAATTATTGTATAATAAACAATTATGCTCAACATGATAATATAACCAGTGTCATATTGTAACTAAGTGTGAACAAATACCTTAGAGGGGGTCTTCGCTCACAGCGATAACATAATAAGGGACAATTACACAAGTGTGGTGTTGATCATGCGTTACACATATGGATTATAAATGATTGTATACATATATCGTATATCCGTTGCTATTAACAACCATGATCATAAAGAAATAACAAGTATTATTCTAATCTCTATTCTAATCTCTAGCAAAGTTAAAATTGAACAATGTCTTTCGTCCGTTCATTCATAAGTGATATACAATTCTGGTAAAAAACGATTAACCATTGAAAATTTTATAAGAATATCTTGTCATCATATATCTACTAGTTCATCTTCACCTGCTGCATTTCTTGCTTGGACGCCCTTTGATGCTTTGCATCAATGCTTTTATATTGTATTGTTTTATTAACAAATTGGACTAACGTGTTGCTCTTTTGTTGAAAGGGAAAACTCAGCCTTGAAAAACCGGAATTTTCCGAAAAATGTATTATTTTGCAGATAAATCAACTAAAACTTATATTTCTTTGTCAAGGAGTGTAAAACTACATGTATGCTGATAATGGGTTAACAGATAATACAATAGTCTGAACAGCTCGTTAAAGGAAGGTAAGCATAAATGACTCATCGTTCTTAAGGCCTTAACAGACGGCAGGATTTTGAAGTACCATACCAATTAAACTTAGATTTACAAGCAAATCTTAATGTGTGAAGGCTACTGTTTTCTCAAATTCGTACAATTTAATAATAGATTTACAGTTTAGGACATATTCTTTCTATTAATTGTAGTTGTACAGACCTCCCATGATCACAGGTGACAGATTTCCCAATTATCCACTGATAGTGTGTTAAACGAATGATATTCCAGAACAAATAGGGATAAAATGTATACTAAGTAGTAAGATTGAGTAATCAAAGCGCTGAAAGCACTGCTAGGGGCGCATTATGTTGATTGTATAGTGGTCTATTGTTACAAGCAGATGCCATTCCTACTTTCAAAGCTGATGTCACATTTTTACTCGATTATTCGATAAGAATAAGTAGAATTATCCTAGTCATCTGAACATTGGCGTCTATCACCTCAATTTTTCCCGAAGTCCATTGACATATGGCATTGAAACTTTGCACACTTGATCCCGATCAGGCACCCATTTGTTAAATGCTAAATGCATGTGAAGTTTTAATATTGTAGGCAGAGTTACCCAACTTGTCAATCTGATGTACATTGTTACTATAAATAACTATTGTAAGTTTCAATTGAATATCTCAAGCAATAATTGAGATATTTGACTTTAAAATAAACTTTAACCAACGCAGACGCGGACGCTGGGTTACTACAATAGCTCTCATATTTTTCAAATAGTCGAGCTAAAAACTACCAAGTCATGGTTGAGACCATATAGTTATTCCATATATAAATATATATGTATATATCATGGAAAACATTTCAAGATGTTACAATGGATTGTAGTGTATAACAAGAAAATCAGTGTACTTTAACTTTAATCCAATAATCATACAAACATCTGTAAATAACTCAGGGAATTCCCCAGACGCTTTTAGCGCATCGGCACCGATGCGCTAAAATTTCAGAACAAGAAATCCCGATGCGCTTAAAATTATCATAGCGCTTTAAAAAATGACCGATATTCCTTTCTATTGAGTCTATAAGTTAACCCCAATTAGCCAAATAAACAAGCCAATATACATGTCCTGTGGAGATAATTACCCGAGGCGTATACACAACCCGATACACTGATTGCCTTGAGACTGTGTGACGTCACAGACACCTGTCATCGATGTCTGCAGACGACTGTTGGTGCACTTTCAGGTGTTGTCAATTACCCTGTATTGAGATGGGTGCAATTTAACTGCGGCATGTGTGATATTTACATGTTTCAGGTAGGTGTAATAACTTTTATTGTTTTGATAGTATAATTGGCATTAATTGACATGCGATATAACAGTTTGATATTTAGGGATGAATGGGTAAATTGTCTCGATATAAGTTTCATCTTTCATTTTCTTACGATCGTTACGTCTAACCAGTACTGTAGTATTAAGATTTCGAAAAATAATAGGTCTAACATGAATAAGTGAAGAAAGAGGCCAGCGCCTAGTTCACTATCAAATAAGAGTGTTTTTTTGTGAGAAATGTCATTGAAACTGTCACAGGATCTTTTTGCTTTTTAATATATACATGATTATCGTATTTTACTTGGATTTCACTGCATAGATATTCAGAATAAATTTGATTGATGGCTACTTTAACATTGAAAACATTTACGACTGTTCATTATCAACTTGCAACTGAGTGAAAACAACAACAAACACTTTACATCAACAATCCCACTTAGTGACAGCCCATTGGTCATTTTCTTTTTTAATTGAAAAAAGAGTAAAAATATCTTGTAAACTGTTTCTGTTAATTGAATCCCCAAAATGAAAAAAGTCTTAATTTTGCAGGCCCTCTTTAATCGAGCCTGTTCATGGACAGCTTTGTGAAGTGCAATCTACTGTCTATGCCCCTTAGCATTTGTTTGTCAGGACACACAGGAGCTGGCCAGGCACTTTTGTGTAGATATGGAGCAGTGACGCAGCCACTGGCACCAGGTACGTGCCCGTCTAGAGGGAATTGATCAGTTAGCCGACCAGACCATGACCTAGATTACTGGCAACCTTTCTACCAGTCATCCAGTCCTTTAAAGAATTGCTGCTGTGGGTCTCCTCCTCCCAACCTCTACTGCAGGTAATTATTATTAAATTGATTCATTCTTGGACGTTAATGAAATTCCAATGACAGATGCAGATGTGTAACACTTTGCTTGAAGTTTTTCAACATTTCAAATATAATTTTTTTTACTTAGTTAAGTTTAAACAGACTAGAAGTTTTAAATTTTCAAAAATTCATAGCAAACAAACAAAATAAATAAAAGACATGAGGTAAACGTTAATGATTACTTTCATTTATTAATTTCAGATTGTGAGCGAGGATTCAGCTGCCTGAAGAGAGTTAAGACTGAAAACAGGAATTGTCTCTCTGTTAAAGTTCTAAACTATCTTCTTGCCGTCTCCCATTAGAATCTTTCAACTTTGAGAAGGCAGTCAAGGCATGGAAGGACAACAAACCTAGAAGACAGGCCCACTTTTAATGATGTTAATGAAGAAAAAACAACTGAAACATATTTAAATGGGACACTCATACATATAAATGTTGATCACATGTTGTGAACTTGTGTTTATATATAATTGTTAATTTATTTGAATTGTTGGATATGCAAAAAATAAATAATGAAAATTAAGAAAATGTTTATCAAGTGAAAAACTTTCATTATTTGTTTTAAAACAGCCCACAGCAGTATCTTGACACCTAAAATGGCAAAAATTTTCGACACGCGGTATGGGGGTCAAGACCCCCTCCCGCTCCCACCCCCGTCTAATTAAAAAAATGTAGCGCTTAAAAAAATCCTGGGAATTCCCTGTAACTGGAACAAAATATTTCTTAAATAAAACCATACAACACAAGAGGGCCATGATGGCCTTAGATCGCTCACCTGACTTATCAAACTCATCCAAACAATTACCTAGACAAGCATTCTGACCAAGTCTCATGACAGGTGAGTCAAAAATGTGACCACTACAGTGTTAACAAGGATTATCCATATTTGAGCAGGGGGACCTAGTTTTTTTACCCAGGTGACACATATTCAAACTTGACCTAGAAATCATCAAAACAAACTGTCAGACCAATTTCCAGGATACTTGGATCAAAACAGTAGCAACTAGAGTGTTAACAAGATTTTTCTATTTTTAGCTCCGGTGACCTAGTTTCACATGCAATTTCGAACTCATCCAAGCAATTACCTAGACAAGCATCCTGACCAAGTTTGATGATAATTGAGTCGAAAATGTGACCACTAGAATGTTAACAAGGCTAATCCATATTTGGGCGGTGTGACCTAGTTTTTCATTCAAGATGACTCATGTTGGATCTTGACTTAGAAATCATCAAAACAAACTTTTAGACCAATTAACAGAATATTTGGATCAGAACAGTAGCCACTAGAGTGTTAACAAGATTTTTCTATTTTTATCTCCTGTGGACCTAGTTTTTCATCCGAGATGTCCCATGTTCGATTTATTCCCAGCAATGACCTAGACAAGTTTCCTGACCAAGTTTGCTAACAACTGAGTCAAAATTGTGACC